TTCAAATAGGAATCCATAGTGTGAAAAAATATTCTGACTTGTTGTAGTCTGAGTTTTTGCAATGGAATAACTGCCCTTGTGGTGGTTTTTCTGTGGTCAAAAAAAACCCTGAAAGCTAAAAGCTTCATAGACTAAATAGAGACATTGGATTTATGGTACATTATAACCTGCCTGCAATCCAATAACCCAAGTAACCTCTCCATCTTTTACCAGCTACGTTCTATCACCAGGTCTACAATCCCTCTTCTTCCCCACCTGTCTCACACATTGTCTTCCATTGCCTCTGATCCTCCCTGCCACGTATTTGCATTTTCAAAGACCTGCATTTTACATATTGGCTTCTTTTCCATCCAGAACACAAAACAACAGTAGACTCTCCTTATGCCTGAAGGATGTTTGTGCCCAAAAGCTTGCAAAGAACATTTTTTCAACTATTGAGTTGGTCTACTAAAATATATCACATTTACCTAAAGAACCTTGTCTGAAAGCTAAAAATTGGCATTTTTTGAGAGCAAGCTTGAATCAGGTAACTGAATATAGATTAAAATATTTCTAGCTGAAAAGGAGGAGAGTTTGAAAAGACACGCCAAAAAATGACAGGTTTTTAAGTGCAACAGCTATGTCAAAAGTTTTTCAAGCAGAAAATTTGGAACCAATAGGTACAATATTCTTAAATTATCAGAAAGCAAGTTTCACATTGATTGCTTGTTGAACTCTTGGCTAGTTAGGTACAAAGAAGTTATGAAGGAGAATGAGAGAAATCATTAGGAAGTAGAAAGAAGAGGGTTAGAGTCAAAGGTATGAATTCTCTTTTAGAGTTAGTGAATGAAATTGTATCACACTTCCAGAACCTAGAAAAACTAAAGCACTTGGCAAAGACATGACTCTTCATAATGCCCAGACAGCAGAGCTAAGCAGATTTGGAGGTGGGGAAAGAGGGAGCTGTGCTCATATAGGGATAATGTAGTATATTCATCCCTACCTAGAAAGGGGTGGTTTGGAGGATTTGTTTCAGTGAAATCTGAAACACAACAGCCATGTCTACCCGTTCACTGTTTAGCAACCATCGATGCTTCTGGATCACGGGGTATTGCATGAGAGGCTACCCAGACCTTCAATGCATATGCCTAGGTAGGAATTTTGGAGGGGTGGAGGCTGCCTGGATCTTCCAGTGCTCCTTTAGGCCACTGAGACAGAATCCAAAGGCCAGACTGAGTCCAGGTGTTTGGTGCCTCCATGGCTGTATCTGTATAAGCATCTGGGAATTGAACCCAGGTCTCCTGTGGGGCAGACAAGGATTGTACCACTGAACCATAGATGCCTCTAAATGTTCATTAATGTGCCATAATTATGGTGCGTTAAGTTTACAGATACTAAATGTGCCATAATCAGTGCTACTGCACATTAGCACAGGTGAACCGTTTTAGGTGATGCTTTATGGGCATTAGCAGGGTTTTTCCATGACATGTTAACGTGCAGTAGAGTTAGTCCAAAGGGCATTAACTGCCTCATGTAGATATGTCCCGTGACTTCTTCCTGCTATCTTGAAGTCAAAAGAGCCTCCCCTACCCCACCTGAGGTAACCTGCCACACACCAGTGTGTGGCACAGACATCCCCTGGGGACAAGTAGCAGCAGCACAAGGTGTGCTGCTGCTGCTCATCTCCAGGGAAACGAACATCCCTACTCATCTGGACACAGTCTAATACAGGAGTGGGCAATATGCAGCCCAGGGTCCGGATGCGGCCCAACAGGCCATTCTATCTGGCCCATGGGGCCCCTAAAAATTTTAGAAAATATTTATCTGCCCCTGGCTGTCTGTCACGCAGCCATTGATGGCTTGCCAAAACTCAGTAAGTGGCCTTCCGCCCAAAATAATTGCCTGCCCCTGGTCTAATAGAACAAGCGCATCCCCACAGAAAGCATGTCTCTGTATCTTGGGACTAGATGCTTCTTCAAAACTTTTCTTTCCACAAGAGTTCCTAGAGGCGAGTATAATTTAGTCCAAAATCTTTGGAAGATGCACTCTTTATATTTTGCTTATCAGGAGCAGCAAAGCTCACTGGAAAAGTTTTGGTTCATGAAACAACTTTGAAGTTTTGCATGATGAGATACCCCTCCACACTTGGTTCTAGAATAGCCAATAATCTAGTTGTCAGGCATTCACCTAGCATCCCAGATTCACATCCCTGTTTGAATCAAAGTAGGATCTTTTACACTACAAGTGAGTACCCTAATCTGTTGGAGGCATCTCTTTAGAAACATTATCTAAAACGTCATTCACTTCATTAAGATACATTTTTGTGAACGTTTTAATTTTGAAGCATTGGTATCTTCTGAGATAAAAATGTTTAATCATTTCCTGATGAGCTCTTGTGAATTCTTCCTCTCCTTCCACTTCATCTCTCTCATCTCAAAATATAGAAATAACTAATTGAGATATCTTTCTAAACAGAAATCATCCAAGTTCCATATTACTGAGCCTTTTCCACAGCAATATCCTTTACGATAGACTGAACACTGTTCTAGCTTGACGTCTAACTTGCATCCTTTTCAATAGCAAAAGTATTATTTTTATATGTCTGTACCAACACACTGAAAACCTTATATCTCCTGCATTCAGAGTGCTTTATAAAAGTCTTTTCCACAGCAATGGAGAAAGTAAATTCTTAGCCAATATTATACTTGGTGTTCTCTGATCACTTTTTCCCCAGATACTTTAGATTTTTCTAGAATAAAGTGAAGGAAAAAATAAGCACTCGTTAGATATACAATTCAGACCATGATTTTAGAACTAACTTACTTTTTGTTACTTAAGGTTACTTTCAAGTGACAGATTGCACATGAAAATGTTACATGCTTCTCCAGTCCCAAAATATTTGAACACTCTCAGCTGTGTGTAGTTGCATTACTCTTGGCAATGCTGTATCTTCAAATTTGGAACTGTGCTATACTATTTTTAGTCCAGTAGTTTTATGACAAGCATCAAGAACAGTGTTAAGGTAATCCACCATCAAATTCTCTCCAGATAAGTTTCTAACAAGGAACAACCATTAGTGCCAGCAGCATGACAACACCAAGGTGCCTTGACTGAACATAGGATCCTACTGCATATAAAAATATGACATTGGATTGGTTTTAGGCCCACCCCATTTGATGAGGGAGTAAGACTCAACAGAGTTGTCTTCAGCAAGGATCCGTGAGAACTCCTTGAAGTACAGGCATGTCATCTGATGGGCACTTGACATGATTGGCACCTCTGGTTCTCATACCACATTTTCACCCTAACCTATCTCTGATGCCAACACTGGTTATGACCTGTAACGATTCTCACATATGGCCTGGTTTCAGTGAGACTTTTGGGTGATCTCCTTGCCTCCGGTCAGAAACCACTTTGGAGACACAGGCATTTTTGGGGGTTATAGGTGGTATTGTGGTAGGTAAATGGGTGCTTGAGGAGATGCACTTGGGAAGCCAGGTTTTGGGGTGGGGGGGTGCTTAAGATGCGAGATGCCTTTGCACCTAGTACAGGTACGGCAGAGACTATGACCCCTGGGCAGCATAGCTGGATTCAGAGGTGCCATCTAGAATGCAGCAGGGGAAGGGAAAAGCAAAAAGTAGAGTAGTGTGGGATGTTGGTAGACTGACTAACTGTTTATCAGGCTGTGTTGAAGGGTAACAAATACCTCAAATGCTTCAGAATTCAGGTCAACTCTTAAGTGTTTCAGTCTGATTTGTAAGGCTTCATCACAGTATCTCATTTATACCTTCACTTCTGAAGAAGCTTAAAGGCATTTGGGGCACTACATGCCCACATCCAGACGAGCACAGCTGTGCAGTATGTGGTGCTGCAGACAAGTCTGTGACGCCACATATCGCATGTTCAGTTGTTCTCTGCACTGCAAGGGAGCAGCACGGAGGGTCTTCTTGACCCCTGGATATCCAGCAGTCAAAAAACCCATGGGAAAAAGAAGAGGAGGCATGGCAGATGCAGCAGCGGTGTGCGCCAGCCAGGCTCTGTGTGGGAGGATCGCCACTGCTGCAGTCCCAGGAGGACCCCAGGTCCATGCATGTCTTGATATGGTCCATGTGTTTTGTCTGTCTATGCCCACAGGGTTAGCTCCTACCCCAGGAAGCCTAATGTAAGAAAGTGAATGTTACATGTAAGAAATTGAAACAGTTCCCAAGGTTTCAGAGGAAAGTTATGCCAAAACCAAGCACAGAACTCAGACCCGAGTCCCAAGCCAAGGCCTTAACCACACGACTGCTCTGATCCCTCCTTTTTCTCCAGTTGTGAGGCTTCAAAATTTACTACTTAGTCTGATAATACCCCAAATCATGGATCAGAACAGAGCACTTAAGTATAAAAAGTTTAATAATGGTTTACAAATGTACATTATTTACATTTGAATTTTACAAGTACATTCTTCAAGAGATGAAGACTTTGAGATTGTGTGAAAGTTTTTAGAAACTTATTTACTAAACTAGAGAGTACTTTTTCAGTCATAAATTGCACTTATAATTGCATTCATGTGGCAATGATTTAAGTTGTGAAACATCTACCAGCTTAATTACAGAAAGTTTTACAAGTTGAGCTCATTCTCCATATATCACGTAAAAGCAGTGAAATCAGTAAACCCTTCTGTTAAATCAGAACAACTTAGGATAAGAGTGGCATTTGATCCATCATCTTTCATTTCTTTGTTGACCAAGGATTACACCAAAATCTAACTAAAAACTGAAAATAGATTTATGTGAAGTTTCACACTACATTCAGTAAAAATGTTATTACATAATCTTTTGCATTGTATATTTAAAGTTCCAATCCTGTGAATTTCTACAATGTACACACTGATCCTTACCTGAAAAGCTTTACAGTCAATGAAGTTATGCTGATTTATACCAGCTGAAGAACCAGCCCAGTATATTCTATTTTGACCATACTATATGAAATTGGCCAGGTAAAATAAATACTAATGGCATTATTAGCCCAGTGATACATTGTTCAGGATGGCTGGCCTAATTAGCCACTTGAAATATTAATCATGAAATTATCTTCAACTTCTAATGGAAATAATAAAAAGAGAACAGTTTACTTTATTTTCAGGATACTGTAATTTGCAGATTAGCCAGCTGCTATAGTAGACTCTTTCTTAATCTTGTGTAGATCATACTGTTATTTAATAGAAATAGACTAACCCTAATCTCTCCAAATTGCTTGTATTTGCACTAGTTTTCTGATGCCTAAGCTTATTTCAGCCAGTGAGTGTTAGATCCTGCTTTGAAAGCTGAATTTTTAGGCTTCAACTTACACTAGGTATGTTTCAAGTTTATTAAAGCCAGTTTGAGAATAAAAGCAGTTAATTAATATAAAATGGCTGAACACACTCACTTTCTTGATTAAAAGAGCTTTCCCATAATTAAGAGAAACACAAAAAAAATAGAAGTAGGCAAATAAACTTTAAAGGGCTTTAATCCTTTAAAAAAATACTTTAATTGTAATTCACATGAATTTTAAACCACTCAGTTGCAATATGCAATAGTACTGGAGAGAACAATACTGAATCTCACTGGAATGGCTGCTAAGAAAAAAGTTCTCTCTGAACTGTAATCCTTTTATAACTGAAAGTAAGCAAGTACGTCAGTGATCTAACAAAGGCTTCAAAATATCTCAGGAAAGAGGTAAGAAAATATCAAAATCAGGCATCACAGATCATTTTAAGACAGTAGGTCAGTTCTTACATTGATTTTTTTAGTTAGCAGAAGAAAAATCCAAAACAAAGTTCAAGTATTATTGAGACATGCCTGCATTCTAGATTTTCGTCGTGCAAGAGCTTCTTGCTTTTTTTTTTCAATCTCTTCTTGGGAGCATTTTCTATTTTTCTGTTCCATCACAGACACTGCAAATACAAAATGTACATTTGAGATATTCATGTTAAGATGTATACTGGCCTAAGCTGCCCACCTTGAACATCTGAAGATATGCAGCACACCAGACTAATACATGAGGAACCAAAATTAAAATGGCCCACTATTTTCCATCCTCAAAGACAGAAAGGAACACATGTATGACCTTTGAATTACTACTGCCTGCTATCTCCCGAAGTATTAGGCAGTAGACATTTGCTTAAGGGAAATTTTACTTTAGTGCCCTTCAAATGAACCTTATAATCAGTGGTCAACCAAGATGATAACAGATTAAAAAAAGTTGAGGGTATCAGAATGAAAAGGGCTTAACAAGTGATTGCATTAGGCAGAGATACTGGCATAATAAAGTTTGTAAAAAAATGTGGGTTGGGTATAGTAATGGTGTAATACAAAGAAACAGAAAGGTTGAAAAAAGGTCAAAAGCAATAAAACACTCTACAAAGGAGGCAGGGACACACTATCTAAGTATAATGTTTTATGTACTGTCTTACAAAATTGTATGCACTAGAACTCAGCTGTACTGAAATCAGTGGGAAAACTTCCAACGTCTTCAATATGTCCAGTATTTCACCAACAGTGCATAAGATGCTTTGATTTCCTACTAATATAGTTGGGAACAAATGGCCTTATAACTCAGGGAAAATAAGATCAAGGACAGTAAGACCAAGAGCATAAGGTCAGTCAAACAAACATGTACAAATGTGGAAAAATATAGGTGCAAATTGCTATGCAGATTATATATCATGATCTTAATTCTGAGGTTAATGCCACAGTAACAAGACCTGTTCAAGGATTAAAAAAAAAAGATTGAATCATAGGATACCACCAGAAAAATAACTGAACACAGTACCACAAGTTCTGTACGATGCTTTTGTCCAAATTTTCTACACTTTAGTTAAAGAATAGCATATGCTGTCAATAGGTCCAAGCATTACTGCTATGGAAAGCTATTTATTTCTTAAAGTTGACTTCCTAAAATAGTAAATCAGGAATTGTCACAGAAAACAAATACAGTAATTTACACCAATTGACCAGCAAAAATATGTACAATTATCTTGAAGGCCAAAGGCTACTGTCACTGAAACACTAAAAGATTATTTTGGCCAGAGAATTCTCCAAACAATGATACCAATGACTTTGTTTTTCCATTGTCTGGTCTACAGAACAGTCTGTAGATTTTTTTTTAGTAGTATTTAAGAGTGTTGCTTCCTATTTATCTAGTTGCACAGGAAGAAAAAGCAGGAAGTACAGATACCTTGAAATAAAAGGTGTTGAACAGCATGACACTTTTTGTAACAGTGTTCTTAAACTTGGAGATTGACATATGTTTTATCAGCAGTCTACTTTTACAACATCAGCTCTTTAGGTTTCACCACAATTTAATATTGATAAAGGTTCACAAAACCATTCAACATACTAAAAGTATGAGCCAAGACTCTGCTGGTTCTCAGCAGGTTTCTCTAGTAAAACTGATTTCAACACAGAACTTTGTAGAGAAATGTGACAGGGGAAACCCAACAGCTATGACTTTTGGTGAAATAAAGGAAACACGTAACTTTGACACATTTAGATGGCAATTTCTGGCACATGCCAAATATTGCTGCTGGCCAAGACTTTCAGAATTTACTAGTGATTTATCAGTTTCCAGATGCCCAAACTGAGACACTCAGCATTTACCAAGGGAAATTCTGAGCCTTTAAAGAAGGGGTGCTCAATCCCCAGCCTGTAAAGCTGTATCACTTAACCCACAGGGCTCCCCAAGGGTCCAGATATTTCAGGGGAATGGTGGCAGCTTTAAGTGGCATTGCCCTGCTGCCAAATTTCTGGCCAATTTCTTGGATATCATGGCCCAGCATGCCAAATTGCTCTGGTGTATGACCAGATCCAGTAGGTAGGGAGTATAAGGTGGCATACGACTGGATCAGGCCCCCAGAATGACCCCATGCCATTCATCTGGCCTGTGGGGCCAAAAGATTGGATACTACTGCTTTAAAAGTATCTCATATTTGACAGCCCAAAACTGAGACGCCCAACAGTACTAACCTCTTTTAAAGGTAGTCCTGGCTGAAGTATTATGAATTTTGACATTTAATTTGCAGTTAATATTCAAAATTTTAAATCTAAGTATAGACACTGACCAAACTGCAGGACGTTACTGGGCAATGCTGGTGACATCAAGATACATTAATTTTGAGCACCTGTGAATAGGGCCAAGTATTTAATAAGCAAACAAGAAGGGGACAACATAGTTCTTCAGATAAAGTCAAAAGATTTCTCAAAGACTTTTTTTTTTTTTAAATTGAAAATCAGTAAGATCTGATTAGCAAGCCTGATAATTTTGGAACAATGTCATCATCCCTAATCTAAATGGGATAAATACAATAACTAACAAGCAACACCTCAATAACATCTGAACATCAGAATACAAAGTTTCTTTTGGCAATTTTATTTTTAAAAAATATTTTAAAAGCAGAAACATACCTGTTGTAGACTGTGCAAAAGTGACTGAAACCTGCCTCTTAAAAGGTGGTTTCTGATTAATTTCCATCTTCCCACGGAAAGGGACATTTAGTTGATTCTTGCTGTCCTCTAAACCATGTTGTGGAACTCGGATTCCTGAACTGCCTTCTATAGTTTTAGGATCTACATGAACAGCAGCCTGAGAAGTGTTAATCTTTTTGAATGTAAACTTTGAAGGCACAACTGACATTTTATTTGACATTTTGTTAATACAACTGTTATTTTGTATGTTTCCGGTGTTATGTGGAAGACCTTGGCTGTGCAACACTTTACTATTAAAAGCAGTAATACGTGTGTTCAATGTACTAATTGGACAAATTTCAGAATCACATCCTCCTACAGGCACTGAATTAGACCTATGCCATTTTCCAGGAACATTATTTGTTCCAGAAGCAGTTTGTTTATAAGTCTGAAAATGCGTATACTTGGGTAGTGTAGGAATGTCTGTGACTGAAGCTATAACATTTGACAAGTCTCTACAGTTCACGTTTCCCACTGTAGTCAGTCTGTCTGTAACCTTTGAGGAGTTTGTATGAGAAGTGTTTAATGAAATAGTTTCCTTTTTTATGTTGATTCTTTCTGCTAGTGGGTGATCAGACAGTCCTTGTTTAGATGCTATAAAACTCTTATCAGCACTAGATCTGGAATTAATATTGGTTCCTTGTGTAATTTTGTCTCTTTCATTTCCTTGTTTAATGTGTTGGCTTTGAGTCTGCTTTTCCACATCATCACACACCTGATACAATAATTCATCATCCTCACAGTTTGTGTTCCAAAGACTCTCAGATTCACAAAACATATCTAAAACTTCATCAGAGAACTTAGGCTCATTCCAGTCATCAAATGACACAGAACATTTCTTTGGCAATTCAGCCTGGTTTAGCTGACCTGTACTGGCTTGGCTAACCACTTTCACTAGATCATTAGGTTTTGTATTAGTAGAAACATTGGATGATTGATGAAAAATATTGTGTGTCTTATTTCCATATTTTCCAGTCTGTGCTCTATGTGGATTAGAGTGTACAAAGACTGAAGAGGATCCTTTTACAGGAAAATAAGTAGTGAAGCCACTTTTTGACTGAATACTTTCCTTTGCATTAACTCCAGACTGTACTGAAATAGGAATATGGTCAGAACCTCTATTTGGAGCACCTTTTCCAGCATAATTTATTCCATCACCTTTAACATCTTGCTTCCCATACAAACTGCCTTTTTGTAGCTTTGTATTTTCTGTTCCATTACTTGGCTCCTGAAAAGGAAATGAATTTGTAGTATCCTGTATGGTTTCACTATATCGTTTCAGGGGCACATATTGAGAACTGCTGGACTCGGCTGAAATACCAGCTACTGAATGAGAACTATTTGGTTTGTATTTAGCTTGACCAATGCCATTAAAAGAGTCTGTACATGTTTTAGTAGTTGGTGATGCATTTTCTGTACTTAGCAGTTCAGGATTTTGAGTAATTTGCATTACGAAGGAGTCATCTGCCAATAAATCAGTATCCCACTCATCAAAATCATCATGAACTATTTGAGCAGGTTTACTGGAAGCCACTGATTCCGTCTTTGCGGAAGCTATATTTTGCTTTGGCAGCAAATAGATATTAGTTTCTGGAGCTGCAATGCGATTACCATTTCCTAACGTGGTGGTTGAGTTTTGCTTTTGACATTTCTCTTCACCAACATGTCCCTTTGTTTGTGTCATTTCCTGAGAAATGCATTTCTCTTCTTCCAGGGTACTTTTCTTCTCATCAGAACAATTATTTAAGGAAATCCCCGACAGGCCTTGGCTTAACTGTCCACTGCATTTCTGAGTAGAACAATCAAAAAGGGCACGGAGGGCTAATTCAGCCTCAAGGTCTACAGGCTTCTGACTGCTAGTATGAAAGTGCTCCGTTACAGGGATGCCAGTGCTCTCTCTAACTGGTTTTAAGGACAGAGTTGCATCTGCTTCAGGAACTTCATTCAGGAATGACTGCAGATTTTTTATCTGTACATCATCTTTAGAATTATGTAGAGCCTCTGCCTCTGAGGTAGTCTGGAGAAAATCATGGCAATGAACTTCTTGGTCCTGGACTGCATCTAGCTCAACCAGATTTTTATCAAATTCCTCAGCCAATTTCATAAGCTCCTCTTCACTATTCTTTCTTTTAAGAACTCTAGATGAAAATACACAGATAAGTCAGGAATACTAATAAATATTTTACAAAGTCTAATCACTTTATACCAATAGCTGTTTACTCTACAGTTTAATAAGTTTAGCAACCTCAGATATTCAGGGAAATGTTCTCATGATTCATTTAACAGTCAATATATAGTGCTTTACTCTCACCAGTAATTCCTCACTTTAAAAGATTACAAAGCAAATGAAAAAGGCACTACTGTGTGTTCTCTGCACTAGCATATTAGCTATCCCTTCATTAACTCAATGAAATACTGCTCTTCCTTTCATGAAAAAATTTTTTTTTGCTGGGCAAGCAAAAATGTCTTTGAACATACCTTGTTCCATTTAATGCTGTCCTTGCTACTGCAGGTGTGCAGGGAATGGCATTTTCACCAATCCATGTGCCTAGAAGAGATCCTTCATAACTGGCTGGTTTTTCATCCTGAACAAGTAGATTGAATTGGTACTATTTAATTTGATTTAAGAAGAGGAATCCGCTATACACACAGCTTATATCAGTTTAAATTTTATTCAACATTTAAACTGATTAAAACTGGTGTAAATGTTGCTGAAAGCCAACAGGTCAAGTTACCAGCATCAGTGTCCACATGCAAAAAACTACTGTCGAACATCAACTGGTTAAAACCACAACTTTAGTTAAAATGGTTCAACTCTGTACGCAGGCATGACTAAAGATAATACCAGATTTACAGATACAACACAACGATATCAACTTTTAGCATAAAATGGTCAATGCTGATTTATTGGTTTAGCCTGTTTTGTGTACTTATTTTACATTTTCCAATTTGCTACCTTTTCGCTACCATTTTCCAATTCGCTACACGCCATATTTGTTTACTTATCAAAGAAGAGACCACAAACCAGTGAAACTGAGCAAATCTTCTCTGGGCTCTTTTTGCAAAAGTTAAAATTTTGAATTATTCCATTTTACCATTTTCATATGCAAGCCTCCTAAACAACTAAAAATATCCAGAATTCAGAAATTAAACAGAAATACTGTTCAGCTCTTGGGTTCACATCTGGATCTGAATGCTCTCAAACTTTTAAGGTATGAGACATGCAAGATCAGAATTAGACACAAGCCCAAACAACTGCTAAAAAGTACTGAACACACAAGAATATTGTAAACCAGCTAAAGGAAGTAACTTGAGCTTTACTGACCAGAAAGGGAGAAATGTTTTTATTTTAGAATGAAAATTAACTGGTGGCAAAAACAAAAGCAAACCCACAATTCTGTCAAAGGTCTAATATTGAATTACTATATCTAATTGAATATAAAATATGACCATGATTCTACAGATGGAAAATTTATAAATTTGTTATAATTTTCCAGGTAATGAATTTAATTATTGGAGGTTTGCCTTTAATTTGTCTCCCTCCCACTACTACAGCAGGGAAAGTAAATCTGGAGGATCAGGTAGCCCCTTTGCTCTCTGCTTCCCTCCCCAGCTGTTTCCCTTGGCAGTCCCTCCCCCTTCTCGCCTCTTCTTACTGTCAGTCCCTGCTATCCCTGAGCACGTGGAAGTGAGGAACAAACTGAAAACAACCTTGAAATTAAACATGGTTTTAACAATTTACATATAGTACCCATACACTCAGTTCATCTGGAATTGATGCATGTTATTCTTTTTGAAATTGCTGTCAGTTTTAGCACAGGTACTCCATATGTTCCACTTCTGAGCAGCACTTTGGCACCTACTTATATGTAGTACAAACTCGGCATGATATTACTCCAAAGCCAAAGGCTCGTAATTTACCATATACTCACGACTGGAACCAGGTGTTCTTGTCATGAGTCCTGGGATGCTTCAAAAAAAATGTATATGCAGATGAGACACAGGGCAACCTGGTCCAGCTTCACTTCATGGAGGGCAGGACTACATTAATCATATGTGCCAGGCTGAGAGGTGATAGAGGGATTCTGAGTGAAATGTTCGTAGCTCCATTTACTGACGTTTGCAAGACATGTAAGGCTTGTGAAGAAATGGGAATCATTTGAAAAGGCAAAAAAAGGCACAGCTCAGCTGTGGGAGTGAAGAGGAAATCAAAATGTATGCAATGTAATGGTTTACCATGACTTGAAAGAGTTGATGGTAAGGAGGAATGTGCTTAACGGGCACTACCACTTGTCTTATTCAGATGGGCTACATTAACCTATTCTTGTGGTAGATTCCCATTGGCACATCTGCCCAATGTGGGTCATCAGTTAATAGTAATGCTTAGCGTTGTCTCCATTTAATCAACTTCGCAGTTGGTTTCCATTGCTGAGCACATGCTGCTTTTGGCCACAGTTTAATGATAGCCAATAGGGCTGTGCGAAATTTCAACAGCTGTTTCGTTTCGAAGCTGTTTCAACGCGTTTCGAGCTCAAAACAGCGAAATTGAAACAAAAGGCTTCAAAACAGCTTTGAAACGAAACAAGGGCACTCGAAACAGCCTGTTGGTGGAAGGCGGGGGAGATCCAGGGCAACGTTGCAAGTGGTTCTGCCAGCCCCACAGACCTCAGCTCAGCATCGCCATTGGCACTCAGAGTGCAGCCCTGGCTCCAAATGCAACCCAGTGGTAGGAGGCTCCACAGCCCCATGAAGCTGAGCCTGGCAGCAGGGGGCGGTAGACAGCCAGTGGTGGAGCCGCTCCAAGTGCAGCCCTGGTTACTGCCACCTCCCACCGCCAGGCTCAGCTCTGTGGGACTGTGGAGCCTCCTGCTGCTGGGCTGTGCGCGCCAGGGCTGCGCTCTGAGTGGCTCCATCACTGGCTCTCCCACCACTAGGCTCAGTTCCATGGGGCTGGTAGAGCCACTTGGACAGCAGCCCTGGTGAGCACATCCCAGCGGTGGGAGGCTCCGCAGCCCCACAGAGCTGAGCCTGGCAGTGGGAGGCGGCAGAGATCCAATGGCAGAGCCCCTCAGAGCACAGCCCTGGCTCCCAGTACAGCTCTGGCCAGTGGCTCTCCCCTGCCTCCTGCTGCTAGGCTCAGCTCCGTGGGGAGGAGTCTGGCACAGCCACGCAATCCTCGTGGGGGTGCAGGCCCCCAGATCTGCACGCAGCATGACAGGAGGTTGCCATTGCTGCTTGGGGCCAGCAGCAGCACCAGTCTTCCCAGCACTGGGCGAGGGCTGCGCCCAGCACTGATTGCAGGCAGCAGCAGCAGCTGCCTCCTGTCACCCACAGAAAGATCTGGGGGTTTGCACCCCCGGGAGGAGTCCAGAACAGGCCCCCATATCTGTGCATGGGATAACAGCAGGCTGCTGCTGCTAGCAAGTGATAATGAGTTTTGCTTTCAACTGTTTGAGGTGCAGTTTCACAACAACCCCTGCACTTATCTCCTTGAAACGTGGCAGGCTTCAAGCCCTCAGAAGGGGCTACCATCTCTGCAATTTTCATCCAAATTAGGCAACAGATGCCAAAGTTATAGGCATTTTCATGATTCCCCATTGTAGCCTATGGGTGAAACGTCAATCGTGTCGAAACAGCGAAACAGTTTCAATGGAACAGTGATTCAAAACTAAACGAAATGACGAAATGAAACACTGTCCCTTCAGAACGGCAAAATGGAAGCTGAAACAAAATGGTGCTGTTTTGCACACCCCTAATAGCCAAATGTATTTAGTGAGATTCCTTTGTATGTGATTATAAGATGAGGGGCATGTTCCCCCATGCCAACTGGGGGGAAAAAAACTCATCTTGTATTTGAGTAAATACAGTAGATTATATTTTCTAATAAAGATCATAAATGATAAAACAGAAGAAACAAGTCACAAAATGGGAAGTAACAGGTAGTATTTTTTTCTCTTAACAATGACTTTTACATGCAAAATTATTTTCCAAATATTAAGTTTTGAAATGCTGAATCCATTTTCAATGGGTACTGTCAAGGAAATCTGTAAACTGTGCCTGCTGTAAATTATAGAAACATTATTAGAAAAAGACTTATTTTGTGTCTTATGAGTAATAAAAAACAAAGTATGTCTCTACTATTAAAACAGGTTGTTTTTCCAAGTTCTGTTTCTGAGCTATAGACATCAGTTACAAAAGTGCACCGGAATCTATATGATAAACTGACTTGAACTCAAAATAAACATGATTAAGTTAATTTATCAAAATAATTAAAGCATTTAATTATGTCAAAACTATTATGCAGTCTTTCCATCTTGTTCCAGTATTGCATATGGACTTTGGTAGCCTTTATTTCAAGTTAAGCATATGAAGGACATACTAAGACTAGTTTTACCTGTGGCAAAAAGCTCTATTAGCCAGAAGGGTTGTGTTCATGACAGGGGGCCCTAACACTGTATTTAAAGCTGCCCCTCACAGTATAGGCATAGCCTAAGTCAGGGCTACTCAACTGTGGGCTCCTGCTCTCCACATTGTTGCTGCTGTGGCCATGCTCTGGCTCCCTCCTCTAGCTTCTGCTTTTTGCCCCTGCCCTAGGGCAGGGTAAGCCTGTGGGGCTCAGGAAGCAGGGGAAGTCTGCAGGGTATGCAGTCAGTGTAGAAGTCAGAGAACCCTGGCCTAAGTGGTTCACCCACATATTTTTGTCCTCCTCTCCACTGCATTAGAACAAACCTTCTTCTAACTTTACATTCACCTAAAATTCAGGTTTGATAGTGCTAGGTCTCAGTTGTAAAGCCCCATGTAAAAGGCCAGAAGAAGACAGTGAACTGTATGATTTTTATGCTGCTTCCTGGATTTACTTTTAATTCTAAGCCCAGAAATAATTTCAGTGAATGGATCCTTATGAGACTCTGAAAAACCTACACCAACGGTAGGTCTCAGAGCAGCATAACCGGTTCCAATAGGAAGCATAGTCCTACACATCCAAGAAAACAGTTGTGGTAAGAGAGAGAGAAGAAAGGAGAAAACAAGGAAGAGCAGCAAAGGAAATAAACTGAATTCTGTAGAAGAAACATAAAATAAATCCAACTAAGAAAAAATAAAAGAAGAAACTAAACTGAAAAAGATATTAAAGGCAAAAAAAGCTCTTTCAAATGATCTCTAAACAGCCCAATCTGGGAGTAGTAGGGTCAGGGTCAGTCAAACCTGTAAGATCATTTACAGAAGCCATTATTTTATTGGTACAACATGGACGTAAAGCTTAAGCTACCCAAACATAGATACATTTTGATCCCTTGATTTAAATGAAAGGTATAGTTATCTGAACTGTATTATGACAAATGAAGAGAAAAGCTACCAAGTAAATATGATATGCAACGAAACTTTACAGAACAGAAAAGTGGTAGAAGATGACTGTGCTACTGCATTTTCTACAAATACCAAACCAACAGCTCTCAGCTTGATGTTAGATCTTTTTTAAAATTAGACTGGTACCACATTATTTCACACAACTAATTTCTTAACTGAAAAATATAAAGTGTTTTAGGACATAAAGTCAGAGGTTTTACAAAAAGAAATATAGATTAGCTAGTCAAATACTATGCTTGGAACTTTTATTCAACCCAATTTTAAGAATTATGTTCCCCCCCCCACCTGCATATCTGCATCTGCCTTTTACTCTACTACATATTACCAAAAGTAAAATTGCTTTTTCACAGTTTTACAGAATCAGCCTATCATTACACTACTTTACACTTTAATTACTGCATAAGCTGTGAAGTGTTATAAAGGAAGTGATAATTACCCGAGGAGCAATACGATTAACAATATCTGAAATTTCAACTGTACATCTACGGGTAGCGCATTTCTTTCTTTCGTTACCTGTATGAGATAAAACACAGTAAAAATCATCAGACATTACAATTACAGCAGGATTCCAAAACAGAAGCAAATCACATAAAAATGCGTAACTTTCCTCAGTGCCGTATCACAGCATTTCTGAATAAAATGCCATGCAACTTAACATGGCATTAAAATGAATTTTAATGCTACTAAATGCTTCTTTTTTAAACAGATCCATAAACACTGAGTACAGACCTTGGATATGTTTAAAAAATTAATAATGACCTATGAAAAAGCAGAGTACAAAGAAGAACTTTTTGGTGACAATTACCTAGTTGGTGTGCAATTGGTGAATGCGGATCCCAAAAAATTTCATGCTGTATATCAGTATCATTGACAGGAGAACTGAAGGTAGGTAACCGTGATCGGTTATTCAGGGATCTCTTTGGAGTCTTATATAAACATGGCTCTGTGTGAATATACATTAAGATTAGACATATCAAAATATTAACACTGACAAAGAGAGATCAGAAAAAACAAGAATGAAGGATCAAGCAAACACTTCACAAGTCTTTAGAATGGAATCATTTACTTTCGCCATGTTTCCTTTCAATTCTCCATGTTTTCTTACCAATTTCAAAGGTACAGAGATCAAACTATGACTCTACACTTATTAGTACTGGGTTACCTATCATTACTAGAGTGAATCCATTTTCAAATGGTATGACAGGACAGACAAGGTGTTTAGTACCTAACTGTGGGAAGAAAAACAGTCAAATACCATTACCCAGATCTGCAAAAGTGTATTGCATCACCAGCATCATCCATTAATAAAAAGGCTAACACTAAGCTTGAGGGTATCATTTGGTACAGTGGAGGTTTCTAGCTTATTCTTTGCCCCTCTGCTGCTGAATATTTTAACGCAGGTGAGGTTGTAACTGTTACCCCCACGCAGTGCTGATCACTGGTTACAGTTTTCTATTTGCAAACACATTTCTAAATTTACTTCTGGGGATTGACAGAATACACACTAAACCAAGGACATGGAGCCTGCTTTATCCCATCCTCCTCCACATGCTCAAACTCATAGCTGACCCAGTATTTATATTTAATGAGACTCAAGTGCTGCTACATAAGATACAACTAAAGACAGTCTAATCTCTCAATCACTAAGCATTTTCAGACAAGAAATGAAGAGGCTACAGCTATTCAAGAACAGTATACCATAGATTAACATGGGTACAATGAAAAACTGAATAAATGACATGAATTTTGTTTAATCATAGCTGCCTTATAGAAGTGGAATTGGTGGTGTTGGAGGCATGGAAACAGTGTACAGGAATAAGGGAATTAAAAAAAATGCACTACACTGTTAAAACTATTGTCGCAAAGGTGTTTTATGTTTAGAATACAAAGGGTGTCCACAACATTTAGCACCTCGCAAGATAACAAAAACCTTAATCACACCTAGAGGGATTAGCACAAAGAAAAGATTGCTCCTTGCTCTGCAGGAGGCATTCCTTTCTGGGTGATATGGGCCAGTACCCACAACATCAGAAGAAACTAAATGTTTGCTAAAGGGGAAATGGGAGAAGTGAGTACCTATAAAATGACAACTCAACAGGTCTCAGCCTATTTCACTCTAACTAAAAAGAACAAAACCTAGGCCTACATCTGACAAGTTGCTTCACACTGAAGTCATATAAACATGAGGCTCCAACAAAGTTAATTGGGACTTTCATGGATGCTGAAATCTATCTCCCTAAAACAACTTTTAGGATTAGGATCAGTTACTGAAATGCCTTCCTATTTAGATCCACGGTATGAAATGGAAAATGGACTAGGCTGAAGAGACTTTTTCTTCAAGGAAAGGCGGCATAAAAAAACACTTCAGCAGAAGACCCTCCAGCTCCACTGCACAGCCCAGCTAAGTTGCACATTTAAAATAAGCCACCTGAAGCCACATCATGCTGTGACCTTCTGAACACAGCCCATATTTATATAAAGGTTTGGGGTTCCTCCCTCTCACTCTTGCTTGATGGCAATTAACACAATTTGGCCCCAAAGCAGTGAAAGATGCTGCTGACGGTGTTCAGCAACGACCAAGGGTCCCGAGGGGCCGCGTTCCCTCCATTTTCACAAAGAATCTGGAAGCAGCTGAAGCCTTTCAGAAAAGTAATTTCATATCGAGTGTGGGCGCGTGCGCGCGTGCATATACATATATATATGGGGGAGGAGTGGGGCAAAGGCATGCAAGATGTGCAGGCTGCTGTCAGGAGATGCATGTACCCATTGGCTTGGCAATGACATCTGACATCTGGACAGCACCTGCGTTGGCAATGCCTCTCTCAGAAAATTCATTATTATTAATGCTAATCATGATAATAATAAGTGATACTAAATAATAAGTCATACTAAGTAATAATGAAGGGACAGGCATAGTCTGTCTTGGTGTTAGCTTGGTGATGATATCTGACACCTAGTCACCATGTGCATAGACAATGCACAACTCTCAGAGAATAATAACAACAAATACTGGTAATAAATACTAAATAACAACAATAATAATAATAATAATAATGTAGGGACAGGCATAGGATGCTTGGCTTTAGGTTGGTGATATCTGACATCTATTTACCATGTGCATAGGCAACGCACAACTCTCAGAATAATGATAATAGCAGCAAATAATAATATATAATGCTGATAATAAATTATACTAGATGATAAATTATACTAAATACAATAAATAAATAAATAAATAAAAAAAAATGCAGGGATGGGCATAGTCTGTCTTGGTGTTAGCTTGGCCATGATATCTGACATCTAGTCACCATGTGCACAGACAATGCACAACTCTCATAGAATAACAACAACTACAACTAATAATAATTAATAATAATGCTGATAACTGATACTAGATAATGGTAATAAAAACGATACTACATTATAATAATAATGCAGGGACAGGCATAGGACGCTTGGTGTTAGCTTGGTGAGGATGTCCAACATGTAGTCACCATGTGCATAGGCAATGCACAACTCAGATAATAATAATAACGAAGCAGGGACAGACACAGGACACTTGGCCCGAGCTTGGCAATGGCAACAGCCCCGCACCCAGCACCTGCCGAAGCCACCCCTAACCGTGAGGCGATGACATTTGCTGTTATTACTATTATTAACCGCGGCAGCAGCAGGGGCGGGTGGACACGGGCGCAGGCCGCCTTTCCACGGCCTTGCCAGGCCGCCTGCCCCGAGCAGCGGCGGTACCGCACGCGAGAGCCCCAGGGCTGGCTCGCACCGAGGCGCTAGCTCGGGGCCCCGCGGGGGGCCTCACCGTCCGCTTTGCTCCCGCGGCCCGGCCCGGCCGCCGCCTCCTCATCGT